TAAGTAAAAGCTGTATTAAGATTTTGATTCTGCATCTACTGATTATTTCGGCAACATTAAAATGTTATAGAGAGTCATAATCCCCTGTGTTAAAGCCCAATGTTTGACCAACCTGTCCATCCACCCCGACCTCCTCCCTATGCTAACTAACCTTTAAACAGTGGCGACGCTAAAGGTTTAGAGAGACGGAGGTTAAGGTTAGAGAATTTTTGTCATCGTTGTTACAATAATAAACACAGCTTGAATTGAGAAACAAACAGCAGCCTCCTATGTCCATGTTTTCTGGCTCATCCATCCACCCCAGCCTCCTCCCAAATTAAACTGACCGACTCCTCGGACAAAAGGTTTGGTTCGGCTGAGGAAGAAGATCATGGCTAAGAGAAGTGCTTTCTTAAGGTTTTTTTTATCACCATGGCTACAATAATAATGTGATGTCATTGTATATTTAACCCGTCCATCCACCCCAACCTCTTCCGCATGGCAACAAACTTTTCTAAACTGCTAAAGGTTTGGTTGGTTTAAAGAAAGATCGTGGCCAAAATAAGTTTAAAACCAGAAATAAACATCAGCATTTGATGTTTGTTTGTTTTTTTCCAACCCGTCCATCCACCCCAACCTCCTCCCAAAGAAAACTGACTCTTTCTAAAGTGATGATACTAAAGGTTTGGTTAGGTTGAGAGAAAAGGTTTAAATAAGTGCTTTATTATTGTATATTTAACCCGTCCATCCACCCCAACCTCCTCCCAAAGAAAACTGACTTTTTTCTAAAGTGATGACACTAAAGGTTTGGTTCGGTTGAGAGAAAATGTTTAAATAAATGCTTTGTTATTGTATATTTAACCCGTCCATGAACCCCAACCTCCTCCACACGACAACTAACTTTTATAAACTGCTAAAGGTTTGGTTGGTTTAAAGAAAGATCGTGGCCAAAATAAGTTTAAAACCAGAAATAAACATCAGCATTTGATGTTTGTTTTGTTTTTCCAACCCGTCCATCCACCCCAACCTCCTCCCAAAGAAAACTGACTCTTTCTAAAGTGACGATACTAAAGGTTTGGTTAGGTTGAGAGAAAAGGTTTAAATAAATATTTTGTTATTGTATATTTAACCCGTCCATCCACCCCAACCTCGTCCACACGCCAACTAACTTTTATAAACCGGCAAACTCAAGGTTTGATCAGGTTTAGAGAAAGATCACGGCCAAAATAAGTGCTTTGCTCAGGTTAAAGAACTTCTGTCATGGTTGTTAAAATAACAAATATTGTTTAAAATGAGAAATAAACAGCAGACTTTGATGTTTTTTTTTTTTTTTACCTGTCTATCCACCCCAACCTCCTCCCACAGAAAACTGACACTAAAGTGATGACGCTAAAGGTTTGGTTGAGAGAAAAGGTTTAAATAAGTGCTTTGTTCTTGTATATTTAACCCGTCCATCCACCCCAACCTCCTTTCTTAACTTATATTGACAAACATAAACAGGAGGATTTTAATTTAAGCCAAAATCTGATGTTTGTTTTACTTTGATTTTCAAAAAGCTCCATAAAACGCATAATTTCATGTGATACAAAGACCAGACGTTGACAAATTGCACCAACCGATCTGCACATTTCAAGGCTTCGTTCAGACAAAAGGTTTGTGCCGTCAACGCAAATCTAACAAACGGCTTCAGAAAAAAGACAAACACTAAAATAATCACACTCGCGCACATTCAGCACATTTTCTTCAACATGTTGGCGTTCAAAGCTTCCGCGGAAATGCGACGGTCCTCCGCTGTGGGTGGAAGTGTGAAGGATTAGCATCCAGAAGAACACAGATACAAAAACACAAAATCCCTCCGCGGCCGCCCACAGAAAAGACGTTGAAGAAAACCAATCAGATAAATAAAAATACGGCTGGAAGCGTCGCGCTTTGTCAGCAGGCAGCAGAATCGTATTCTTCTGAGGAAGTGAACTGTACGCCTAATTGTCACTCAGAGATTTGGGGTTTTGAGGGATGAACGAGGCTCTAAGTGAGGTTTCTTGTCCACTAAACTCTCCTAATAAAGACCGTCTACGGGTGTCGGTTTAGATCAGCAGCTCAGCGATTGCTTCGCCAGCTGCTGAGGTTTACAGCTTTCAGAAAAATCTACACGAGAAACGTTCCAACTCGGGTCTTATCAGCTCATGTAAAAATACTCTCCGGACCGCTTTTCAAACACATAAATTACAGGTTTACAGTTTTATATGTAAGCAAGCCGCCAAACAGAAACTCTAAGAGGATTTTTCCATCACGGCGAACACCAAGTGGACGAATTTCTTTTCAATACGACTGCAGATCTGTTTGTTTTTTAACACTTTTCTCCGCAAAAATCAAATCTAGAAGCCTGGAGGCTCCACTTCATATCACTGGCATTTGATAAATAGTCAAACACGTTGAGTCATTTCACCTCTAAAATAAAATAAATCAGCTTCACATTGACAACTTCTCCTCTAGATGCAAAAACAGCTGATGTGAGAGATGCATTAAAGGTTTATTTTTTTTAATTTGCCACTTTCATGACCTTTTGTTTGAATGCAAGCACGTTGATTGATTATAATTTTAACATAAATGTTCGTAATAAGCTGCCATTTTGGTTATTTGTAGAGAAACACAGTAGATAAGCAGCGCTGTGGTGCTTCTTTAGTCTGGTTATGATTCCCAAACGGCAGCTTTATGAGAATAAACGGCACCATTTATTGCTCATGGGATCATTTTTGATTCCTCTGAGATCCAATCAAAGTTTAAATATCTGTTTGTGCATACAGACCTGAACCTTTTGCCCTTTTGCCTCCTCTGGGCTCAGATGACATTCAGATAAAACGCACTCTTCTTCCAGACAGTTTAACCCCAGACGGCAGATAAAAGCCGCCTTATTTCAGGAGTGTGCGGTGCAATTACACTCCGGGTAAATAACACTTCTCCCATCGCTGATTACACTCTGACATGACAGCGGCTTTGACTTACACAAGCGTCACAGACCATAATAATAAGACGGGACGCGGTCGGGCTGTAAACACGACGAGCGCAGAAGGTAAATTTGGCACCAGACTCACAGAGTGGGTCGACAACAAGCAGGAAAACATGGATCTGAGTGTATTTCTGTCCCTGGACCAGTCATTCAGCCTGTTTTTAGGGTTTTTTCTGTCAAACATGTTCAGAAGTTGCTCAACTCCGAGCATGACGACGGTAAATGGAGAAGCTGAACCCAGTCATTTTGCATTATTTTGTTATTTTTATGACGCTTATCTTACATGACCTCGTGTTCAGGCGGTAATTTAACTGACTTTACATTATTCTGCAACAACACAGTGCAGAAATTAGCAACTTCCCAATACGTGGCCTTTAAATGAACTGTTCTTGTCTTTGGATTTCACTAAAGGGCATTTTAGTCATAATTTATCTCTTAATCAAACATTTGCATTCATATACAGTATAAAATAATGTTTTTAGTTGTTCCTTTGGACGCTTTGTATCATAACAGACTATTTGGTAGTTATTCATATGATTGGATGCTCCAGATTTTGGACAGCGTCTTTGTTTTTAAGCGTTATTGGTGTATTTTTCATTCATATTATTGCATTTCTGGTACAATACTACATTAAAAAAATCCCTAAGGTGCTTTTAAAAAAGGCAAACAAACACCTAAATGTCAATGACCAACCGTCTTACAAACAAAGCAACTACCTCAAGTTGCATTTTAAAACAACGACCAACAAGCGAAACAACAAAACGAATGTTAGCGCGCTAACACACCACAGTGAGAGCATCACACATGCTAACGTCAACACGCTAGCATTATAGCACCTTCATGGAGCGACGAAATAATTGGATAAAAGACCCCTTGAATTGGAACAACAAATCAGAAAGTCTGCGAAAATGTCAAATTGCTGAGATGTTGACCAAATAGCCAAAGAAATGTTTGGTTGATGGCGCTAAACTGTTTTTTGCCAGAGAGCATTTTACCTGCTAGCGTCAACACGTTAGCATTCTAGTGCCTTTGTATGGTGTTGGAATAATCAGACAGATGAGTGAGTATTCCCTCAAACTGACAGAAAGGTAGCAAAAATGTTGCTACACGTCATGCTAAGTTGTCGATGGATAAGCGCTAAAAATGCTAAAACATGGCAGACAAAAGTAAATCTTTGGTTAAAGGTACAAGACTCTTGACGAACTGTGCAAATATTTTTTTGCTAACTTTCAATTTGTAAAATTTTTAGCTGTAGTGTTAGCTTCTGTCCACATAGAGTATCTTACAGAGCATTATACATGCTAACATCAACATGTTAGCATTATGGTACATTCGTGTGGCGGTGGAATAATCACCTTAAATCAACAACCTAGAAAGTTGTCGGACAGTTAGGTATACGATTTGCTGACGTACTAGATGCAGAAACATGGCGGACGAAGGTAAATGTTTGCTTGAAGGCACAAAACTTTAGATAAACTACGCACATTCTCATGTACAAACGGTTTTGCTAGCATTTAATTCGTAATATAGTATTATAAGTTATGGTTATGTTGTTTGTCTATAATGCTAACGTCAACACGTTAGCATTATAGCACATTAACGTGGTGTCGGAATTACGAGTGAACGTTGCCCTTATATCGGAACAACTCAAAAATGGGCAAACATTTTGGTAACAGACAAAGAAACTTGGCAGACGAATTTAAATGTTTATCACTTATGCTAACATTTAATTTGTTATATGGTATTACAAATTTTGGTTGTATCGTGAGCTGTCCTCGCAGAATGATTTAGATTAGAGTTATTTATTAGCAGTAATTCTCGTAAGAAGTCAGGTAACACTATTTAAATGCTTGGCATGACAGAGTTTAGCTCAAAGCCTCACAGAGCTGCTAGCATGAAAGTAAGCTCTTGTTTCACTGTAATCTACAAAAGCCCTGAAGGTACAGATAAAAACCCTCTAAATGCTACTTGACTGGGAATTTCCCACCCCGATGAAACCACACAACACACAAAGTTCAGTTACAAAGAGTTTAATCCCAAAAATACTTTTTCCTTTTTTTTCATTTTGGCATGTTAATACATCGTTTGGTCTTGCTGTATCTTGGCTGTAACGTTATACTGTATAATTTACACTGAAGTAGTGGCTGTCATGCAATGTGAAACGCAGCTCTGCCAAGGAGGCGGATGCCACGCTCACGTCGGAGAGATGAGACTGATTGCGAAAAAAATAACATTCATGTCTGCCCCCTGGTGGCGGCTACCGGTAAATATGATTAAATTACCTCCGACGTACAATCGCTGCTACTTTAGACTGCAGATTAGAGCTTGGATTAAATTGGATTTAAATTCTTCTGCTTTGACGTGAACGCGGCATGACACAACAGTCCATGTGAGACATTCAACAGTCCTGTCCAGTCATTTAAGACCAAATGTCACTTTTAGAAACCATCTGCGAGCTGTCAGTCAGGTGGGTGGAACATTATGCTAACACTGTCAGATTAACTTCAATAAAAACCGCCCCGAACACAGCGCGTTTTGGCGTATTGTTCAACCGGAGTTTATGATTAGCTATCGTTCGATGAGGAGCAGCTGAACAGGTTCCAGCCTGTCGGTTCGTTTCAGGAAGACACTTGGCTTCTCGAACAATCTGCCAGCAGGTTCAAACAGTCTGGGATGCACCAAAAAAACACTTCACTGACTCTGACGAACAGCTGATTACAAAAAAAATGACTTATTTTGCAGAAGCTAAATCTGTCTGCTTGAATTTTGTGCCTAAAAATCATCCTATATGCAGACGACTACGAACTATTTTGCTGTAAGTTGACAGGAAAGACATGTGTGATGGTAGTTTAATTAGTTTGTTTGTTAACTTTCCTTTTATGTAGAGTTATGAAGAGATTTACTGGGGATCAGCTGCACAATTAATATAACCAGCTTTTGCTACTAGAGCTGCAACGATGAATCAAATAATCGATTAATCGCCAACTATTTCAATAAGCGCTTAATCTGTTTGAGTCTTTTTTTTCAGGAACAATGTCTGAATTCTTTAATTCAAGCTTCTTAAATATGAATATTATCTGGATTATTTCCTCCTCGATGACACGTAAACTGAATATCTTCGAGTCGAGAACAAAACAATCCATTTAAGGACGCCATCTTGGGCTTTTGAAACACTGATTTGGCATTTCAAACCACTAATTCAAGAAAGGTTAATCAAAAGTTAAAATAACTGTTGGCTGCAGCCCTAATTGCTACATACAACTAAAACCCACAGCAAGTGTTCAGTCTCATTAATGCACTTTTTTCAAGTATTCAGCAGCGAAACAGCGCAGGCAGCTGCAGCATATATCGTATACGCAGCTTTAAGCTAACGCACGGCAACTTAATTAGCGACTAGCTGTGATTTTACTTGGAAGAAACGCTGTAAAGGTGCTGCTCAAACAGAGGAGCAGTAAATCAGCTGTTCACAGAGCTGAAGGCCTCCAGTATGGCTTCCAGAGGAGGAAGAACCAAAGGTGGTTCCTCTGAGGAAGACACTTGTGCAAAATGAGACGCCGTAAAAAGACGCCACATACATTAAAATAAACTTAAGTCTTATTCTTGTTGCTCCAAACATTCGTCATATCATGTAGGTTACAAAAAAAAAAAAGACAAAATCAGAGTTTTCTTTTTGCGTGTCTTCTCAGGGGAATCATCTTTGCATCATCAGTGCATCCCTCATCACATTTACAACAGTCTCACATCTGTGCACAGCACAACAGGGCAGCAACGGGGAGCTCTGCCAGGAGGTCCACATGCTCTGGAGAACATCTCCACATCCCTGATGATCACTCACTCAGAAACAGTCAAGGCGAACCACCACCACCCCACAAACCAGAGATTAATATGATTATTTGAACATCTTATACCAGTCATGACTATGCAGTTTCTGCAGGTATTCCAGCAGGAACACGTGGATGAGTTTCTCTTCAGCTCACTATAAATATATTTCCTTCTTACATGGAGACTGGTGATCAGTGATGGAGTTGATGGGGTGTTCTTTAATCTGCTATGGTGTCATGATGCGTCCACAGAATGACCGGTGACACTTCTCATCACTGCCTCTTCTTCTTCTGCTTCAGAGACTTCCTCCTCTTCACGATCATCTCGTACAGCTTGTCCATGCCCTCGTCCAGACCCTCTCCGATGATGGCGCAGGCCGGCTGGACGTGGTACGGGGTGGACGGGCTCAGCTCGGCCAGGGCCAGCTGCCTCTCGATCTCCCCGACGTCCAGCGCCCGCGGCAGGTCCTGCTTGTTGGCGATGACCAGCAGCGGGGTGCCCTGGTTCTCGGAGAAGCGGGTGATCTTGTGCAGCTCGGTGCGGGCCTCCTCCAGCCGCTCCGCGTCCACAGAGTCCACCACGTACACGATGCCGTCCGTGCAGCGGCTGTAGGGCTTCCAGAGGGGCCGCAGCTTCTCCTGGCCCCCGACGTCCCAGAAGTGGCAGCTGATGCCCCTGGAGGCCCCCGCGCCGCCCAGCCGGATCCGCTCCGTGTTGAAGCCGATGGTCGGCACCGTGTTGACGAACTCGTTGAATTTCAGCCGGTACAGGACGGTGGTTTTGCCCGCAGAGTCCAAACCGAGCATGACTATGTGCAGGGACTGGAAGGCGGCCAGGTTGGAGAGGCTGTTCCCCATGTTGCAGGCTGAGGAGGAGGAACAGCTCCAGACGCTCAGATGTGCCAGAAGTGATCCATACCGGAGGAGGAGGAGGAGGAGGGGGGGAAAGTGGCGCAAAAAATCCGGTTCAGCAGAGGCGGAGGGCGCAGCCGGGGGTTGCGCGGCGGCACTCCGGCAGCCAGACGAGCCGCAGCATCCCTGGAGTCGCTCCAACTGCAGCAGGCGGCCGGAGGAGGAGAAAAAAAAAAAAAAAAAAGTCAAATCATCGCACGTAGAGCGGCGCGCAAAGACCTGCTCCTCGCCCAAATGCGCAAATGACGCGCGGCCCAGTGTCACATCGTGTCCCTGCACGCGTCTGGATGTTTGTCTCCGAGTGCGCAGCCTTCATGTACACGCGTGATGCTGTGTGACGCGTGGATCAGCCTGTGAACGCTGCCATGTACAGATGCGTCGAGTTGCTGCGGCAAACACCGAACCTGACTTCCGGTGCAGCAGCAGAGAATTTACAAAATAAAAGCCTCCGCCCATTATTTGGAGCTGAGACACGGTTTTAATTTGAAAGGCTGCTTCCTCTGCGCACTGAGCGTCCTGAGCTGTGACACACTGACAGCTGGTGGCCAAATACACCAAACTACAAGCTGAAGTTTAAAAACTGAGTCAGGATTTATATTTAAAATTCAAAATGAAGTGATACAATGAGTCCTGTGTGTCTCTGTCTGATGTACGTCGTGACTTTATCAGGCTGCAAATTATTTTTTTTTGCACATCCCTGCCAATGTTTACATCCTTTCCCTCCTGATAATTATATAAATATATTGTTTGCATGGTAGACATCTATTGTGTGAAGGTCACCAGTCCCTCCACAGCATGATGCTGCCACCCCCGTGCTCCACAGCTGGGATGGTGTTCTCAGGCTTCAAGCTTCCTCCTTTTTCCTCCAGATGTACCGATGGTCATTAAGGCCAAACAGTTCAGGTTTAGTTCCATCAGACCACAGGACATGTCTCCACTGATGAAGCTCTTTGTCCCTGTGTGCATCTACAAACTGTAATCTGTCTTTTCTATGGTTCTTCTGGAGTGATGTCTTCTTCCTCTCTGATGCAGCTTCAGCAGCATCTTCACAAGGTCTTTAGCTTCTGTTCTGGGGTTGATTCGCACATTTCAACCAGAACCAGTCTCCTTCCTGAGCCTATGATGGCTGGACATTCCCATGGTGGTTATACTTGATAGAACTGTCTGAACAGATGAACGTGGAACCTTCAGGCTTCTAGAAGTTGTACCCAAGGATGGACCAGACTGGTGCAGGTCCACAGTTCTCTTCCTGATATCTTGGCTGGTCTCTTTAGATTTTCCACAAAAGGAAGCAGTGTGTTTGAGGTGTGCCTCCAATTAACCAATCAGAAGCTTCCAAAGCCATGACATCATCATCTGGGCTTCCCCAAACAGTTTGAAGGATCTTAGTGGACGTAAACTTCTGACTTTCTCATTATTCTGGTGTTTAGCAAATAGAAATAATGTTGGTAATCCTGACTGAGCTGAAACAGGAAACGTTTAGTCTGATTTAATGTCAGACTGTTAAAAAAAAAAGAAAAAAAGTTTTATGTCTTTTTTATATCTTATTTATATCACATCTGCAAATATATGTAAAGCAATTTCCTCATATATCTATAAACACAGATAGTTTGTATAGATCTGAGATAATTTAAAATACTTTCCTCGTATGTTTCTATAAATATATAAGGTTTGCTAAATATTTTTAAAATGAATTTAAATACCTAAAAGTCCTTTTTTTTGTAATCAGCTTGTTTTTTCATTATTATTTTTATCACAGCAGCTGTTTGTTTTAATAATTTATTATTTGTTCTGAACATATGTTCTGATCCATGTTGGCTCTAAAGATTCAGTTGTTTCCAGGTTTTAATAAAATCCTGTCAAACTCTTCGTCTCTCAGGTCAAACATTCAAACTCTTACCTTCGGTGTGTTCCAGCTGTTTTACGGGTGTTTCTGAGTGAACCAGTCAGATCCTGGTTTGTGCTCCAGCTCTGGGATCTGCAACAAAACCACAAACTAGTTCATTTACATTTATATTTATATATATATATAAGACAGTTTTTCATTAAATGAGTGTCAACGAGAGCATCACAGGACAACAAAAGTGGCTCAGTTTCACAGTTCTGGGACTTTTTGCTTCCATAACTTCTTTCAGACGAGTCAAAAAAAACAAACATTTAGGAGTCAACACGATGTTTTTTAACAAACTTGTCGATTAGTCTAATTTTCTGTGATGCAAATGAGCAGGCCGTTGCTGTATTTTCTGATTTAGCCGTTTATAAAAACCTCCGACTTGACATTTTGCAGCTCGTTTCATCCAATAGTCAGGCTGCTGTTGTGGAAATGAATGCAAATTAGGGATTGTTTAAAAACATGTAATACCTCATTTGCATATTTATAATATTTTAGAAAACTTTAATCATAAGGATTCATGTAAAGCGATCAGCTGGGTCAGTTTCATCTTGTCATCTGTTCATATAAATGTTTTTACACTTTGTCCTGTCCTGTTTCTCCTCAAACATCAGACAACAACACCTCACTGTCATATCTAAACATGTTTTTGTGGCTCATGAGCTCCACGGTGCACAAACACAGCTTTGACTGTTCACTGTGACGGTTCTACCACTAGATGGCAGCACAGCTTTTCATTTCAAGTTGAGCAGTTTTCTAAACTCACATCAGAAGTTTAGAAACCAGACGACTGAGGAGATGTTTGTACCTTCATGGCTTCAGTTCCTCCTGGAGGCTCCGTCACTCCTCTCAGGTTTCGTCTCGGCTTTTCTTCTCAGACTCTGAGGTTCTGCTGCTAAAGAGCCAAGAGACACGAGCCTGACCTGAGCTCACCTGTAGACACAGGTGTGTTTACTTACTGATCAGAAGCAGGTTGGGACGATCAGGTCTGATTAGGATCCGTTACTGCACTAAAAGCAACACGATAATGTAAAAACTCTCGATTACAGGTGAAAGTCCTGCATGAAAAATCACATTAAAGTCAAACTACACAGCAGCAGAGTGCAGATAAAGTCCTCTGATATAAGGAATCATCAGATTATCAGTCCTGAACAGGTTTTTTTTTTTTTTACATGCAGGCAGACGGATCTGAAGAAAGAAGAAGAAACAAACAAACATGTTTCCAGGTTTCTCCACATCTCAGATAATATTTATTGGATCATTTGAAGTTTAACGGACTGAAGGAGCTTTTATTAACAACTGATGAATATCTGATGTTTGTCAGAAAGTAGCCAAAAAAAGATGAAAACATCTTAATTATTCAGTAAATATCTTCGTTTTAAAGGTAATTCAAGCTGTCAGGTGGATGTAGTGGAGTAGAAGTACAGTATTTACCTCAAGTTTAAAGTAGTTTAATGTGGAAAATACTTCAGTAAAAGTACCTAAAGTACTGTTTGAAGTGCAATATTTATGATTAAATACACCGAGTTAAATTCTACCACTGTGTTTATCGTTGGTGCATTCATGTAAAGGGCAAAAAAATAATTTAAAAAAATCTGCTGCTAAATAAATGAATAAATATTTATATGAAGGTCAACACTGTACAATATATAATATATAATATATTATTCAAATTTACCAGACTAATTTACATTTTATTTTTAAGATTATACAATTTTTTAAAATAGAAATTCATCTAATAAAATTTTTTGAATAATTTTAAATTAAACTACCTATAAAAGCAATTTATCTGACTGACTCAATTTTTTTTTATAAAAGCAAACAAATTAATTAAATTAATAATTTAGTTAAAATCCTACAATATTACTTGTTTTATAAATGCACCTCACTAATTTATATTTTAATGTTAAGATCATATAATATTGTTTAGACACATTTATTTGACTAATTAAAATGTTTAAATAATTTACAATTAAATTACATATAAAAGAAATTTCTGAGTCAAATAAAAAAAGAAAAACAAATCAATTAATTACATTTTTAAAAAACACTTAAAATCCTACAATATTCATTAATTTATAAATTACCTGACTAATTTACATATTACAGGTAAGCCCTACAATATTACATATAATGACACCATACAGTATCATTTATTATATTAATTTACTCAATAAATGTACATATTAAAGCCACAACCTATATTATTATTATTTATTAGACAAATTTACTGACTAATTTAAACATGAAGCTAAAAACCTACAAAGTCAAGCAACAAATCCAAAGTTTCATGTGTTAATAAATAAAACCTGCGTCGTCTCTTTGACGTGTTTTTCCAGTCGTGACACTTTGAAGTTTGGCTGCAACTACCTGCTGATTATCATCTCATAATTAGCTTCCATTAGGGCTCAAACAATCAGTCTAATTAGCAGAACAAGTGACGCACCTGCAGCTTTAAGAAGTGCAGACGGAGGAAGTCGGTCCCTGAACACAACACAACCTGAGTCATCAGGAGCTCGCTAATTGTTCCCGCTGTCCTCCTCTCACATTGATTTCCCCTCTAATGAGTGTGTGTGAGATCAATGAAACGAATTATAAGCAGGGTGTGGACACACACACACACACACACACACACACACACACACACACACACACACACACACAACTAACTTTATCAGACTACAACTCATTCCGATTCTCCCACCGAGCCACCCACATGGTCGGCTCATCCATAAAACAAGAGCCTCCCCCTGTGATTTACTTCTAATTTATTCCAGCGTCTCCACATTGTTCCTCAGGTAACAGACGACGAGCGTGTTGAGAGGCCAGAACAAGCTGTTTAACCCTCTGAGGAGCACAAACAAAGATTTTTACTGCTGCAAAAGCACTAAACTCATCCAGCCGTCTGTTGAAATGACCAGAATGTACATAAATATTTCATATTTGTTTATCCAGATGTTTACAAGTGTGCAGCAAAAACAGATAAAATATCCAGATGTTTTCAAGTAAAAATACTTCCGTCCTAGTACAGATTTCATACAGTAAAAGTACGATT